TTCTCAGAGAACTAACTAAAATCCTAACACAGACCAGAAACAGAATTTAAGCAAAGTTCCGGATCATTTGTTTGCTGACTTTGCTAGAGGACAGCTCAGGTAGAAGAGAATCTTTGTTGATGCTAAAACTTCCTTTGAGTCCTTCATATTTATAAAAACATACTCATATGTGTTTCTGTATTTATTAAGGTGAATAAGCATGTTTGATATATATTTACACTATGTATATATTATAAAAGAATTTACTGCTGACAATGCAGAATGAATATCCCACTATATAGGATGACATATTTATCACTAGTTCCCTTTTTGATGCATGACTGCTAACAGGAAAATAAAATTCTAATTATAACTTTGGAATATTTAAATTATTTTCCATTTTGCACTAAGGATATTTTGGAATTTTAATATTCTATTTTATAAGGTATTAGCCAGAGGTCTAAGATTGCTCACATCTCTACAGGGGAACATAAAATAAAAACAGAAAGACTGGGACTTTTTCATATGTGGATTTGGTAAAATTATACCTTAATTGCTGCTATCATAGTAGTCAAGAAGCAGTTATTGTTTATTATCTGAAAATTACTTAAGAAATTTCCATTAATATCACAGTTTAAAAGCTATTCTGCAAGAAATAGTTTAGCTCCTTTTGTGAACATGGTGAATATTTTATATTTTGTTATAGGAAACAGCATGCACATTTTCAACAAAAGAGTGTCCTTCCCATAACACCTCAAATAACATATTCAATTTAAAATGTAAGCATGACATTCAGGCTTCATTTGCTGTTGGTGTCAATCTAAAAAAATATAAATTGATGCAGACAGAAAATTCTAATCTGATGCCCTAGGGACAGATCCAATAAAATACTTAAGCATCTAAATTTGGTGTTAAAGCAACTAACTTTTAGGTGTTTGTCCCCCAGAAGGGAATCTTGGGCTGAAGTGAGCTGGGTCTTACATTCCTATATAGTGTATAGGGTAGCTATTGCTAGGCAGGTACCAGTTAAGGGGTGTTATGAGCAGCCACTGCTTCCAACATCACTTAACATTACCCAAACCAGGTACTGCAAATTGGGCTCTAATGAAGTTAACAAGTAGAACTATAGTCTGTCTAAAGCCAACAGAAAATCATATGCAGCTATCTGGAGCTAGTAAATAGAGAAACTCTGGCAATAGGACTGAGCTATAAATTCCACCTTGCAGACCCCATATGACCAGAGTCTGTGTTGTAAGGGCAAAGGAACGATGGTAAAATATACTTCCTTCTTCTACACAAAGCACAGCGATTAAGGATACTGCCCAGGAAATGTAACACAAGTTCAATTCTCTCTTCTGCCTACAAGGAATTAGGATCCACATCTCCACGGGGTGTGTGTTTAACTTTCAAGCCATTGATTATTTTGAACTCTTTTTTGAAACACTTCAGATCAATGAGCAAGAAAAGGATCAGGATTCAGCAGTCTAGTCCTTAGGTTCTTCGCTAGTTTCTCCTTCCTATGCTATTTCCAGATTTAACAGACAACACCACTGAAGAACTGAACGAGTATTCAGCCCCATAAAAAACATCAAAAATACACTTCTTGCAACTTCAGACTGGGAGATCTGCAGGACTTCAGGTAACAGCTGAGCAGGGTAAGTGATAAAATATACCTCACCAAAATTGAGGGACTATCTAGAGCAAACTCTCTGAGTCACGGAAACTTTACTTTACCTTACCTGAAAAGAATCAGAGCCTTCATTTTAACATAAAAAACTGAATGGAACTTTTCTAATGTGACTCCTATACTTCGTGTAAGTCCTTCTTGTGAAATCTGACCTAATAAAACTGAATGTGCATCATCAAATAGTCCATAATTACAGGTTACAAAATTAGATACTTGGTTTTGATGATGGCTGTCAAGTGCTTGAACCAACATTGTGTACTTGAACTTACCTCCTTCTTCCCAGGATCATTTGCAGTTCTACAGCCCGCTTTCAGTAACACTGGAAAATCTGCTATCCTCTAATAAGGAAAAAATCCTGCAAATCTAGGGTAATTGACTTCTCCGGTCATACAGATAATGACATCTTGAGTTATGTATGAACTGTGGGACAGAAGTGCTCTGCAGTGCCTCCTGCAGTCCTCTGTAGTCCAGACTAGGAACCTGGCTGGACCACAACATAACCCTTAGCAAATCTAAGTTTTCTGCTCATGGAACCCAGGGAGTGGGTGGAAGTTCAGATGTGTACATTGGGTCTTGCCCCAACATGAAGCTAGGACGTGGCCAAGTTGCACATCTGGAGTCAGCAGCTGGAAAATGTTCCCAACACCCACGGTTTACACACGGTCTTTGAGAACAGAAACTCTTCCTGCTTTCCTGCAACAAATATTGTCCCAGAGCCTGATGCAAACTTTCCAGTTTTAATAGGCAGCGAATCAGATCCATAGAACCTAATTTGATTCTTGGCGGGATAATGACAACCTGACTCCAATGGAAGGTGAGGTCACTCATGGCTGTGCACACCAGAGCCTGAGAACAGATTTTGAAGACAGTCTAAACGCAAACAAAAAAACCCCAAACAAAACTGCACAAGAGATTTACCGGTAGCTTACACCACCCCAGTAAAAGAAACTCATTTTTGCCACTAATAATAATTCTGGCTGAATTTTGAATAGAAATGCATATGATCTTCGAAAGACTGAATACCCTCAAACTGTTATTCAGTTTGCAAGTGCCAATGAACTGTTTCTAGATATATTACACTATGTTGCGTGGACTGGGTAAATTAGCTCCTTTTGTTTTATGTTGGTAACAGATAAATGGTATTTTCTCTCCTCTATCCAACTCATAGATGAGGTCAGACAACTGATTCACCCCTCTGACATATGCTAAGTCTTTTCAAAATTTGGTATGTGGATGAGTTGCCTCTGTTATAACTTTGTTCCCCCTTTAAATTCCCTGTTGCCTGAAAATAAATTTTCCCTGATCTCAGATCACTTCAGAGATTCTTGGTCTTTTCATTTTTTTAATGGAAGAGGAGACAAGAAGAGAAAAACCAGGGCCTTCTTTACCAGGCAGGATTTCCCAGGTTCTCCCAGGTTCAATTAAAAGCCATTTTAGTTGCAGCTAATTGATAGATTTCTGCCAACAAAAGTGGCTTAGAAGAAAATACAATAATGTTTAAATGCTTCACAATACTTATTCAGAACTTGTTTTCCTCTCTTTCTTTTTCTTTTGAATCAGATGATGAAGGTGATGGGTTTTCAACAATAAGAGTACCACCACCTACATACATTTGTTTGCATTTTTAAATACGGTTGCATTCTGACTGATTTGCAGTGGTAAGCAACAGTTTGAAAATCTGATTGCAAGCTCGCAGTGACAGAAGCAGATAATTACTATCTCCACAAATATCTATAAGTTAAATCACTTGTTTTAATACAGATTAGATTAGTGTTAAAGTTACAAGATTGGTATGAGAGACATGATAAATGTAGTCATGACAGAAAACAATTTTTAATTTAGTATACCCTATCAATCTAGATAGCCCATGAATATTTACCATTAATTCAGTAGGCTGGAACAGAGGGGAAAAAAGAACAAAAAATAGAAGGTTTGACCTAAACAAGGACTGAGGAAAAAAGAGAATTCTCAGCAGTTTTACTGAGAACAGATCTTGCAAAAACGTGAACTGGCAACAGATTGGAAAATACGTTTGGGGTACCACTATAAAAAAAGCCTTTAAAAAAACCTGAATGACATGCAAAAATAGTAGCAATTCTTAATATGTACTTCTCCTTGCAGGATTTACCAGTCTGATTACACTTAAATGAGTAACTTCAAAGGCTGAAATAAAATCATTTATGGAAATTCAAAACAAACCTATTTGATCACATCATACTTCACAGCAGGGATACAATTTGCAGGGGCTGAGTGAGGGCATAGTGTAAGCTAAAACAGGTTGTGTGTGCAACGAACCAAACTAAATGGTTTATATAAAAGAAATGTTGTTTCCATTAATTTTTCTGGTAATCCTATTAAAAATGCCACCTGTCCAGAATAGAATCGTCCAGATTTTAATTCTTTTTCATATCTCAGTGTTCAAACACAAGACAGAGAAGGTATCATCTTAAAGCTATTAAAATATGGCACAAAATGTCTTATTCTGAAATCTTCATTACTGCAGCAGTTTCTCTGGCTCTGTTTCAATGTCTGGCTATTATATCTTTTATTTTTCCTTTCATTGTGCTCAAAGAACTGATTTTTCTGATAAGCCCAAATAGTATTTTTTCAAAGTCATATTTCTAACCTCTCGTTAACCAAAATGTTTCTAGTCTATAATACTTAAAATTCACATACATGAAGTAAATATAACATTAAATGCACTTTTTAAAATTCCACCACCACCCCTCCAAAATCCCCTGTAACAACCCTGAAAAGGAACTTAATTTTGAATACCAACAGAGATGAAATGGTGTCATAATCAGCATAAGTGCATGTGGACTATTCACCTAGATCAAACACTTTGGTCCTATACTCAATTAAATTTAAATCCCATTATATAATGTGTACCGGCCTCATTTTATGCAATTCCCTAATTTAATGGCTTGGTATTAGCCTTCTTCCTTTTTGCACACATGGACTAATTTTCACGGTGCTCAGTCCCTTTGGGAAGTAGGTCATAAAAGTCAACTGGATGGAGACAGAAACTTAATACCTAAACAGTGTTGTCTAAGGGTCAGAGACACAATAGTAATGTAAAACTGTTTTTCACTCATCCTTCTTTGTAATATTTATGAAATTCCGCCCTCATATAAATATTGTTCATAAATCTCAAGGACCACAAAGCAGAAGAATCAAGAAAGCTATCATCCTGTTATAATTTAATTTGTGAAACAAAACAAAACAAAAAGAAAATCCTAATTAAAAAAAAAAAGATCACAATTCTAATACTATTTAGCTGTTGAGACAATACTTGTTTTACACTGAAACCATAGAATCATAATATTCATATTACCTTTCTCAATGTGTATTCTTTTTGTCTCGTGTCCCACATCGTGACCAGCCAGATCACCCTCCTTAGGTCCAGGCAGGACATTAGGTGACAAACCCATCAGCATTTGGTTCATAGATAGCCCATTCTGATGGACAGCTGCTAGACACAAAGAAAATTAGCCGTCATATTAACAATACACTTTTGTACTTATTTTATATAGTCTTTCTCTTAATTATACAAGATTTCTAACAATCACAAAGTTACTTAATTAATGCTGTCAGTATCCACACAGCGGGAGAGTTTCTTCCTGTTACTTCTGGTTTAAAACAATTCATTTTAAAAAGAAGAGTTCAGTATCTTTGGACAAAGTTGGATATTTGCAAACATTTTCTTATTTAACAGGAACTGAAATGCAAAATGAAGCAAGCCAGAAAAGCATAGAAGGTTCTACGTGAGATACTTACTGATTTCTTTTTTTTGTTAGTTGTACAAAAACTCCTGTATATTAGCATTCCCAATATGCAGTCCCTAACTTCCTTCAATTAAGCATTGTGGCCTTCCAGGTGATAAACACTGTTTTTCAAAATACTGTGCAACAGTAGAATTACTTATTTGCTCATCAGATAGCTTGAAAAGCTCTTTCCAACAGTTCTCAAACAGACCTTCATGAGTCTCAAACACACCTCAGAAACCCGTATAAGGTATGCATGTCATACATATGTCATACGCAACCCATATTTCTGTAGTAGTCATCTTACTCTTGCTGGCACCACAAAAGCAGATGTACTTAAGAATCAGTTGTGATGTTAACAAATCAGATAGGAGAGAAAAGGGTTATTTTATAAATAAGTAAGTTCCTGAAGCGATCCAATATTTAAGGAACTCTGTTATGTTCACATTGGAAGAAACAATGTGCAAAGGTCCCACTCCTCTCTGCTGGTAAGTAAGCAGAGTAAGCTGAATAGTATCATTTCTTAAAAAAAAAAAGTGTCATTCCTTAGCAAAAACAGTAAGTATCTCTCAATTTAATTTAATTTACTTTTTTTGTTTAAAGAACAATGGAAAAGGTCTTCAATGGTTGCAAAAAAATATACTATTCAATCAATTAAAAAAAAAATTAACAATCCAGGGCTGTGAGGTTTTTTTCCAGAACTTTACTTATGAATTCTGTGGTGAGTTGACCTTGGCTGGACACCAGGTGCCCACCGAAGCCGCTCTATCACTCCCTCTCCTCAACTAGACAGGGGAGAGAAAATATAATGAAAGGCTCGTGGGTCGAGCCTGGGGAAACAGATAGGTCACAGTATATGGGATGCCAGTTTAATCTGCACTCTGAATAATCCAAGTGATAAGAAAACAGAATTTTCAGCTTGTCATGGTCAGGCCTCATTTTTTTTTCTTTGGTAAGTCATTTTTCATCACATAGTAATGAAAGATCTTTCATCTGAAGGTCAATGAAGAGTCAGCTTCCTGAGTCTGCAGAGAGCCTGAAAGGAAGCAGTCTAAAAGACACGTGCTGCATCTAATCAACACGACTACGTATTTCATATAGCTATTTTGTGGCCTTCTATCTGCATGCCAAATCCTCCAGTTTCACCTACTGATAAATTCCACCGTGGAAAGATGCCTTAAAAACACAAAAACCTGCAATGGAGCAATAATAAAAGGAATGGACAAGTGTAATATGAATTTAAGTAAATAACCATAAAATAAAATGTGTTTAAAACCTTAATTTCCAGGCTGTTGCACTGGAATATCATAGAATTCAGGGTCTTTGCCATGTAATTTACATCCTGTCCATGGAGCCTTGATAAAAACGGCATCACTCTGAGACACCATGGTTTAATTTCACTCCGCCCCTTGTGAGCTATGAGGTGATAATACTCTCTGTATCATATTTCTCACCATTACAAAATTTTATATTTGAAAAAATTATAAAGTATGCAGAGTTTTTAATTGATTTAACCTAATTCTTCTCTTTACCAAGCAATTCTACCATGTAAAATGTTGCTTATGAAGTCAGATTCAATTTAGAAATCAAACCAGAGTAACCAGATTAAATAAAACTCAATTTCTTTTAAAAATGTTTACACTGTATGTTCAGTTCTAAAACTAATCTAGCAAATTGCTTCCCGGCTGCAATTCTGTATTTCATAGCTCATATCTTTATGTTTAATATGACATGATGGCAGTTTATATCAGTACCCGTTAATGTAGCATCAGATATTATGATACTGTAAACTGGGGAACATAATGTTGGGAGATAGTTATTGCAGCTGAACTTCCGAACATGATACATATGAGATCTACTTAAGATGAGGGCATTTTGATTAGAAAAACCAGCTGCACCTAATCAAATTTAAAGTGGTGACAAGGAGAAGAATGTGACCTACGGATTCTGTCTGACGAGCTCTCGGTCCGTGCAGGAGAGCTGGACACACTGCTGCTTCGATGAGAGGATGGATGGCTGCCAGGTCTTCGGCCCTCTTCAAGAGAAGGAGCAGGAGAAGGACTGTCTGGAACACGTTCCTAGACCCCACGAAAAATAATTGCAAAAAAAGGCAATGTTAAACTAAACCTCTGTTTCCAAACATCACTTCCCTAAACTGTATCTCCCTCCTAAATTACAACCTATTCTTTCCTCCTCTGTTGAGGTGTCCAGGATTTGCAGAGTATTCTCAAAGGAAACTTGGCAATTTTGGGACACTAGACCTTACATTTTAGTATGCAATGTGAGTTCTGCTCATCCTGTCAGGCTTTTAAACTGTCTTCTGGACTACTTACAAAAATAAGGTTTTTGTTTTGGTTTTGGGTTGGGTTTTTTCCTCACTTCTATCAGCATGCTGTTGAATTGGAAATATACATTTTGGCTTATAGACTTTAGCCTTACGGGATGAGGAACGATGTACTTTTGTAAATACGTACAGACCAGACGCTGTTGTTTTAGCTTATGCTGAATTTTACTCCACATTTTAATTTCAAAGGGGCTTCTTGAGCAATGAGATCTTATGGGACTGCTATGGATCATAAAGAAAATATAATCTCCCTACTGAACCTATACCAGTAACATGGCTGATGAACGTCCAAATGTCTGTTTATACCATGGAGCACAAACCTGGAATGAACCACATTTTTTGGAAGAGTGTGGTTGTATCACTAGCCATATCACTACTTCAAAATGGGGAAAAATGCCCATTCACGTTTTTCTATCCAGGGGAAAGCCTGGCATGGCAGCCAGGAGGAGCTATGATGTACTTCAGGATGTTCCTTGATTTTGAAAATTAGAGTATGAGAACTGTGATGGTTTGAACTGCACTTCTGCTATGTGAGAACCGTCAGTATGTAGCAGATAGATATATCTGATATTTACACAGAACTTTGACAGAAGCAATAAACAAAGGGAGCTGAGTGCAGAATAGTCCTTTCTAGAAAATTCTCTATCTTTCCCTGCAGTTTCCTTTTTATTCTTAATAGGTCCCAAGACTCTATGTCATTGCTAAACTATGTGTGAGTTAGGTTGGTTTGGTCGAACAGTGATAAAAATAAATAGTTCCTATACGAGAAATCTATTGGAGGGACTGAAAATGCTAAATTAGGGTATTTTTGGTTGTTGGGTTTTTTTTTCCTTTTGATAATTGAAATCCTGACTCCTAATGAAAAAAAAAACAACCAACCCAAACCAAAAACAACAAACAAACAAACAACTGTATACATTCAACTTACTAAAACCTTTTGGTAATGAAGTGATACAATTAGTATGTGTTTAAAAACACATATGAAAAGTTGGTGCTGCAAATGCCTAAAAGTTTTCCTGAAAAGGGCATCGTGTTCCTCACGCAGCAAATTGCTTTTGCAGCAGTCATTATTTTTCATGCACAGTAGCTAGGTGAGTATTTATTTCTCTGAATGCATTCCTATGAAACTTAGCAACATGACCATCTATAGTAATCAATAGATTTATTCAAGGTAAGCTTCATAATAAATATCTGCTAAACTTGAGATTCTGATTGCAAAGGGATTCAGTGGGCCTATTGATGGAGTGGGAGAAGATCTTTCAGAGCAATGTTTCAAGACATTTAAGTGGATTCCACTTTAATAGTCTCAGGTTTTTAAGTCAAAAACATTGATGAGGGTAGTTTAACTGCATCATAGCTCTAGGCTTATAATGATTTTGATTGTGTTTATATGTCCGTGAACCGGGTATTCAAGAGGAGGATTATAATGCAGATGTTTTCAGAATGTAGAAGATTTATTTCTTTAGATTTAGGAGGATTTAAGCATGCACAGCGTACAGATTTGGTATAAATTGGAACACAGTATATTTAATCATTCATTTAATATATAATTTCACTGTTTGGCAGAAAATGTATTGTTCTTAGAAGGGTTTCATTAAAATGAAATCCAGTGAGCACATAAGATTTGAATACAGAGCTGCAGAGTAAATTAATTTATTTAAACAGCTTAATTTGTTTATCCTATTTATTTATGTGTGCTTTTACTGGACGTATTATGAGATGGAGAGAGCAAAAGGAATGCACAGGACAACAAAATATAATTACTGCACAAACAAAACAGATAATGAGTTTTATTCACGTATAATACCACATAGCAGACAAACTCTATGAGAAAACTATATATACTGGCTTTATGAATCCATTTGTAAAATACCCTTTAACCCCAACAAAACATGGGATTGAACTATGCAGAAATGGAAAATAAATTAATTTAGTACCTTAACTCATTTTTTATATCCTTGCTTCATAATTCCACAATCAATAATATAGTCTATAGCAGTTTTTTGTCTTTATCAAAACTAGCTGCAATAATAAATGGAAATGCTACTAATAATAAATTGAAATACTCTGTAGCTCTAAAAAGTCATAGTGATAAACTAATGGTGCTGGAATATCAATATAAGCTGTCTTCCTTACTAGAGATTTTGTGTAGAAAAGATGGATTTTGTCTGCGGTAAAATATTAACTTTACATTTAGACTTAATTTTAAATTTTTCAGAAAAGGAAATGTGCAAAAACATGTTCAGTAAATAACTCAGATGATCAGAGCTATTTTGTGACTTCTGCAAAATTACACTTTTGTACAAGTAAGTCTACATGACACAGCAAAGAAACAGAATTTACTGCATTATAATCCTGGCAATAGAAATCACCTAAGAAATTGTCCACTGTTCAGTATTTTTTCTAAAACTTGTCTACTCCCAGGACAAACTTAATTCCACTTAATTAAAGATATCTCTAGAGAATCTGATGTTGGCTTGTACTGTAATTAGGCTCGTTGTCTCCCAACATATAAATAAATAACTAAATAAAATCTGGATGACTTTGCTTTGCTAAAATTAAGTATGAGGAGGAAACCGTGCAGGGTTCAGTTTGAAATCAACACATCTGAATGTAAATATCTAAATGCAGTTTTGATACATGAGCTAGAGATGAAACTTCAGAGACACCTGTATCTAGGATGCTACACAAAGGTGCCCACCTTGAAGGTAAGTTGTCTCCCATTTCAGTCAATTGAGATATAGACAATAAATTCAATGGAGCTTCTTCCAAAACCAGATACCTACAGCTCAATTCAGCTGCTCACATTTGAGCCGTTTGAGCTACTCAAAGGTTTTGAGATGTCCACACCAGGTTGACAGAGAGGACCTACAAAAGATCTGCAGCCTTCTGGAGTGGCAGCAGGATGCCAAAAACACTATCCTTGCACTTACTGGCTGATGAGTGGAATAGCTCCCAAAACTTTATTGACGTTATTTACTAGAAAACAAGAAATACGGACTTATTTATCGCTTGTAAAACATAACCCTCACTAGCTACCTTTTTTCTCCACTTTTTGCTTCCCTATTTGTTTCTAGAGGTACTCACAAGTAAAAAGTAGTGTGAACAATTTAGGGCATATGTAGCAATTTAACATATGGTCGACCAACTTTTCAAAATTGGTAAGACTCTCAATTAAGCATCAGAACCAGAGGCTATACTAAACAATGGACAACACACTCTTAAGGGCCAAATTTGAAGCATTCCTTATCTTGGTGCTCTTTACAATCTGATCCAAATCATGAGTCCTAAGCATTTAAGAATCTGACATTTAACTCCTCCAAAAATGCTCCTACCATATATGAAACTGTCACTTTAGGGAGCTGCAATGCCCTTTCCCGTACTCTCACTCCACTGACATTACAAGTTACACACCCTCAATATCAAGTCTGTTTCATAAATAACGGAATTGTTCCTGTGACACTGGGTGTTTTTATCTTGTAAAGAACAGGTAACAGATTTTAACTGCCAGAGATTTTAACTTATGAGATTGAAGTTGTCTCTAGAATTAGAAACCACTCCAATTTTGTTCCAGAATACCACATATCATCCACAACATAACGCTGTCTCAGTCCCTCCAAGTAAAACAGAAGTGTCTTGATGTACTTATCAACATTTTTCTACATTTTTCAAACAGCTCTTTGCATAGAGGCAAAACCCATACTGTAAGATCTCATTCCAAAAGTTCCTTTTAAGTAACTTCCTATTAAGATTTATCTTAATATATCAGTAATGGTATCCAGAAGACCATAAATACTTTCTTCCCTGTATCATAGATGTCTTTTTCTTCTTACCAGGTCACAAAGGTAGTTATTCAATATTAATCTCTTTTTTTGCCTCTTTTCTTTCTGCTCCAGCAGCATGTTTTCATTGTTTGAAAAATGCCTCATTACCAAAAGTCTTCCTCAAAAATATACCAAAACTTAAAGTTGATGGAGTTTAACTGTTGGTCCCTATATCACTACCAAAGAGAAGACATTTCAGGTAATCTGTGTAGGATTAATCCTTCTGCTCCTAAGAAGATGGACAAGGAAGTGATAACTTCTAGGTTCTCACCACCTCAGTCTTTCCACAAACATTCTTTATTCTTTGTCATTCCTGTTCCTTAGTGACAAAATTCCAGAATCTTTCTGACAAAGTTTCAATATGCCTACTTCCAATAACCAACTCTTTTGCGTGCACAGCCTTCATCTCCTGCATATTTCTCTCCTACAGGTATTTTCAGTCTCAGATTTTTCCTTTGTTCTAGTTTGCTTCTCCATGAGACTCATCTCTTGGGCTTAGTCATCCTTTAATTTTAGTCATGGACTGAGCTCTAGACATGCAACTAAGTATAGCTGTAGAGGTATATCGCTTTTAAAACTATTCAGCTGTCTTGATGCTCTTCAGTGTTGAACAAACTCCTTTAAGGACGTTTGTGCTTTAAGTCATTGAAGTGCAGAGGAAAAAATAACATATTTTCAGCGTCATACTTTTCAATAGTTTAGGTAATTTCACACTGCGGAAAGGATATATGACACGCACAGTTTCATACACTGTTAATTAAAAAAAAATTAAAAAGCTTTTAATCAGGAATAGCTTATAATATTCTGACCTGTCTGGGAAGGTACCTGGCTTCCAAGCCTTTTTGTGGTAAAATTATAATAATCTCTTTCACAATGACCAAAACACAGACTTCTTACTCTTCAGTTCTTT